TTCCGAGCCCGAGCCGCGTCCGAGGGGCCACAGGGGGTCCCACCGCCCCCCAGATTCCACCGCCCCCCAGATTCCACCGCCCCTCGGGGCTCGCTCCATCCCGCGGCGGTCCCACCGCCCCCCAAATTCCACCGCCCCCCAAATTCCACCGTCCCTCAGGGACTCGCTCCATCCCTCGGGGGTCCCACCGCCCCCCAAGTTCCACCGCCCCCCAAATTGCACCGCCCCTCCGGGCTCGCTCCATCCCGCGGCGGTCCCACCGCCCCTCTCCGCGCTGCTCCGCTCGCCGCCGGCAGCGAGGGGCCCGGGGCTCTGCGGGCAGCGCTTCCGAGCCCGAGCCGCGTCCGAGGGGCCACAGGGAGCCGCGCTCCGGCCCTCGCCCCGTCCTGCCCTGTGCCTGGGGGAGAGCGAAGGTTTTGGCCATGGCGTGATCGGCCTTGATGCAAGGTGCTGCCCGCAATACCCAGGTACTGTGTGATGTCTCGGGATGCAGAAGGTGAATTTAAACTTACTCCTGAATACCTTTTTTTTTCTGCTGTGACAATTTCTGCTTATTCCCACCGATTCCCAGGATTTCTGTGCCGGGCTGTGTGAGCGCCGGGCTCGCCCTTCACCGGGGCAGAGGAGCAGATGGCCATGCCAGTTACAGGCATGGTTTGCAAGAGCAAAGCTGAGACCCACGCATAGTTCCTCCCTTCAGACCAAGTTCACTGAACTCCTTTGTCTGGTGACCTTTTCACAATGAAGTCATGTGTATAACTGAAGATTAAAGAGTAAAATGCAGTCTTTAAGCTTTGTAAAGTCATCACCCCTGCCCCTTCTGCAGTCACTGGTTTGTCACGAAGAGAGTTGTTTCTCTTGTATCACTTGCAGATGTGTCCCAAAAACATTTGCAACCTCGTGATACCAAATGGAGTTTTGGGATGTCTGTTTTATTACTTGTTTGTGAGGTGCAAGGCTAATGCTCACATTTGTGAGCTAGAAGTGCAAACAGGAACAGATCGTTTTGCTTCATTGCATCTAATCCCTCTAAACTCCTCAAGTTCCTTGCATCCATGGTTTGGCTAATATGTGATCAACTCCACTCTACGATAGCAGAGATACGGTGAAAAAGCAGGTATTTTCCCTTTGTATTGAATCAAACATAATCATACAACCACTATTATAGTATGCAATGAAAATAATTGCCTGGAACCACAAATTCTGCAGTAATTGCTGTTTCCCATTTCTGATCCCTCTATAGCCAAGACTGATTTTAATAGTCAAGATTTTTAGTTGTGTCAACTAACCTTCACAAATGAGTTCTGTGTACTCTCTGAAAATCAGACTGCTGCAGAGAAGATGCTGCTTCTCCTGCTTTACAGGAAAAAATAGATCATTTTGATCTGGAAAGATTTAAGGATTTTCTTCTGAATCCCCCTTTCCACCAGAGAAAACAGTACAAAATTCCCTGTATAAATAACTGGTTGCTCTTTCCTTACACAGGTCAACAGAACGGGTTTTGTTATCAAGGTAAGTGGCTTCCTTGCCACTGCTTCTATTCCTTGAAATGTATCATTGGCTTACTTTTAAAACTCCAGCACAGTTTTTTAATATGAGCTGCTTCATTTCAAAGTAGTTACTTTTTGCTGGTGTGTTTTTTTAAAAAATTGCTTTAAAGTACTTATAAGCCTGCCGTTCTGATGGGAATGAGCTCTGTGGTACAGCAAGATGTTTGCTGCATGGTTAGGAAAGCCCAGTCATGTGATTTCAGGATTTGAAGGTTTTGCTCTGCTCTGCTTTTACTCTGTGCTCAAGCTCTAATTCCTTTCTATAGTCACCCCCTCTCCATGCATAGCTGAAGCAAAGACAGAGCTTTGATTTTACTGAAGGCTTAAGTCCACTTAGTTTGCTGAGAAGTTACTGAGTGAGGGTGCTGCACTCGGACCCTCCTTGCCAAGAATACCCCTGGAGGGAGCAACAAACAGAACCCCCCTCCCTGGTGTCCCAGCATGAGGAACCACGTGCTGCCTGTCTGGTGCTTGACCCAGCACAGAAATGCAGCCAGAGGAGGCTTTGGCTCAGCATTGCTGGCTGCCAAGTCTGGGCTACTGCAGTGTGAGAGAGCATTCTGTGAAGCTGAGGTTGGTCAAATATTAGTGCAGATCCGATGTGTGCTTCTGCATTTTTTTTGGCTGTTATTAAGGTAAATTTCTACTCTCTGGTAGTAAAAATAATGAATAAAAATAATGAATAAAAATAATGAAATTTTTCAGAGCTTCTGAAGGAGAGAGATGGGCAACTGTTTGCTAGTCAGGTTGCTAACACTAATGCTCCGCCTGGGATGTGCTGAAAGGCTGAAAGGCTGCCCTCAGAAAGGGTAAGGGAGCATCAAACTACAGCAGCTGCAGCTCCTTTCCCAGTGATCATAATCTGATGTGAACTGGCTACAACGCATCTGAATGTCCCACACAACTGAGGACAGGGAGTCGGTTTGCTGCCCAACAAAGCAAAAGGAGGTTGGGCTGTCTAGAGCTGTGACTCCAGCTGAGTCACAAATGTTATTCTTACGGTGCAATTTAGGGCACAGATTCCTACCTGTGTAAATCTTAATTGGGATCAGCTGTTGTATCTCCACAGAACAGGTATTCATGTTCTTACCAGGAGAGTGGGACTTCAGCACAACACCAAGGAGCTTTTCTATAAGCAGGGAGCTTGTTTAGGATTGTTTGGAAGTTTTTTTCTTCTACTTTTTTCACAATTTGAGCAGACTATGGATAGTGAGGGGAAAAAAGCAGGCGAGTTTATCAGAACTTAAGGGAAGCATTGGTTGTTGGTAGGATCAGCCCTTAGATAAAAGGGATAAGGGGATGTCATGATGAATTCGTAACTAGCTTAAAATAACAACAAAAATGCATTATTGTGTGGTGTGGGGTCCAGTATTTTTGGGAGAAGGAAAGGGTGGTATAGATCCTTGTCAGGAATCTGTGGTTAACTTAGGTATAAGGGATCACACCTGTGTAGGAACCTGAGTTTCTCTGGCTTCCTTAATTATAAACACATTTCCAATCTTTCCTATAACTCAAGCTGCAACCTACTGTTTTAATCACAGTGATTTAAACAGATCAGTGTCTGCATCATCCTTGCCTTGTAGTTTTGGTTTTTGGGATTTGTTTGGGGTTTGGGTTTTTTTTTTTTGGGTAGAGGTCTGTATAAGAATACTCTGTTCTGAGTTTGGATGAGGGTGCTCAGACAGCCCCAGGACTGATATGAGGGCAGCTTTGTGTTAGCTATCCCTCAGTGTTCTGGCTCCTGCCCCAGGATATAGAGCCTGTGCACAGCTATGCTTTTCTTGTGTGACAGCCTATGCATGTACACACCACTTATGCTCCCAGTCACAAGGCCTAATATGCTGGGAAACAAAGTAAGTGATGATATTTTCATCCTCAAAATGTACCCCAAACCGCAATATGGTTGTGAGAATCTGGTGGTATCCCCATTTGACAGAAAATAATTTGAGGATGAGCAGGGCACTGACTGCCTGGCCTACTGCTGCAGTAGGGAGGCTGCACTAGGGCTGCTCAGAAGGTCAGTTTCCACACTCCTTTCTTCTATTGGTGTAGCTCCTCTGGCATCTCTGGAGTGTAAAATGGTGGCCTTTAAAAGAGCTGATAGAATAAATTCTCTGACCCTGAGGTACTCAGATATCATCCTAAGGTGATGAGATAAATACTATTGCAAAATTAAAATGAGTTTCTTCAGTGTAACTCCATTATTCTTCATTTAAAAGATAAATATACTGTCATTGTCAGATCAGATATCCCCCTTTGTCAGCATTTCATGGCTCACTTCCTGGGTCTAGATAGATTGATGATAGCTGTTTAATATTCTTTCCTTCATAACCACCAATTTGAGAGTTGCCAACTCTCATGATGGCTGCTGTTTTTCTTAAAGCATCAGCTTGATTTACATTAGCCACACAAGAATCATTCCTTTCTCTGTTTTTCAAAAGAGTAGTTGTAGAGAAAGCTTGAAAATGGGAATCTGAGCATCTAATGCTGGAGGCAAATAAGCACACGACAACACTATTTTCAAGCTAATCTCATTATTT